AAGTCTCTCTCTATGGATGGGTACAATATAGAATCATGCCCGTGTTCTTTAGATGCTAAACTGGGATTATCACTTCCACACTTAAATGTTGAGGGACCAAGTAAATCCCTCAACTATCTTATTTTTACTGGGACTGACCTCCAAACAGAACAGGAAATCTCTTTGTAAGCAAATTCCCATAACCAGTCCCCATGCTGTTTAGTCTGCATTGGATTAAGCAGCGACTTGCTTGCTTCTTTGATTGGCAACTGTAGTACTGTAAAAACAAATGTACAGAGCAAGTCTCACCAGAGAAGTCTCTCAATCTGCAGACCCTTTCAGGTTTATTTGGACTGAAACTTGATGATAGCTTCACTAGACAGGAAACATTCACCCCTCCTTTCTAATATGGCACTACCAGAAGGACACATTTTCTCACAGATCAAGCAGCAGAGCAAGGGAGGGGGAAAAAGAGAGCAAGAACACAAGAGAGCTTCTATAATACATGTCTCAGAAATGCAAACTGTTATAAGAGGCAGAAACTATCAACAGGATTTATTTATCCTAAAGCTGATTGTTTGATTGATTAAAAAATATGGTTGATATAATACATGAAATTGGTGAGATATGAAAAACGTAAAGCATCCCAGAGATTTTTAGCCCACCATAATGTGGCATCTGGAAGTAGTCACTTGAACAGGAGAGTATTTTGTTTGTTTTCATGCAGGATATAACACTGCTTGTTCATAGCCATTTGCAACACTTTCGAACAGGGAAACCCCACTGGAGGCTGGGATCCTGTCTTTGCAGGTGCTGTACAAGCTCAAAGATCTGGGCTGTCCAGCATCCAGCATTGACAGAAAAAAACTTTAGGTCAGCTTAGATGAGACAGGAAAAGAGTTAGAATACAAACTAATTATCCTGCTGTTATGTAGCATATCTATTGAGGCATATATCATGTTAATTTATATATAGGGAGCTGAGGCCTGACTATGCTGTGTCATTCACTCAATGTCAAATCAAAAACAGGAGGGTACAGACCTAAGTTGCCTGGAGCTGCAGGTCAGCACTTCATCTGCAAAACAACCTTCCTAGAAGCTATTCCATATGAATCTAAACTCTAGCTAACACCAGTGAAGTATTTGCTTGCCATTAGGACACCCACCTTAGGATGCAGCTCCAAGTACCTAGCTGACTATATGGGTTGTATCTGTGAGCAAGGATTAACAAGCTGTCCATCAAGTGGAAGATCTCCTTATTAAAGGAGGAGATTTATACGAAGAAATTTCATGACACCTCTGTGAAAAACTCTTCCAAATATAACTTTCATTTACTTCGGCATCTCCATGCCCTTTCTGATAAGGGTTTTCTGATAAAGGATTCTGGAGCAGCTAGGTGATTACTGCAAGAGGTTTTTTTCTTTTTTTTTTTTAAATGCATCCTTGCTGTCATTGTAAATCCTAGTGCAGCTAATGCCTTTTTAATTCCATTGTAACATTTGTTCGAGGCATTTGTTCGAGGTGTAACATTGAAGAGCTCTATCCAGCAGCAATTAAATTCACATTACTAATTTGAAAAGAGTTAGGCTACATATAGCATATCAGGCTTTGTTAGGGCAAAGCAAGGGCCAGCTTTTCCCAAAGGGACAGGAAGCCAAGGGTGACCCCAGCAAAGGCAATTCCCTCACAACAGGGCACCACCCCGCAGGGCCTGAACACAGCAGGCAGACCAAGGGGCTGGTAACAAGGTCCATCAATAACCCCCACCACAGCAAATGACAAACGTGGGCTAGCATCTATCCAGCCAAGGGCAAAACAAGATGGAGCCAGAGACAAGCTACAGTCACATAGGAAGGGTGCTTTCAGAAGACAAACTACCTACAGCATGGATTTAATGTCTATCCCATAGACGGTACCACAGAGGCAGACCAGAGACCAACATACCTACAGCACAGCTAGACAGGAAGTGGGGGCCCAGGGCTTAGCTTAAGTAGAGCCCCTGTGCCATGGGTGGGAGAGGCCCCCCGATGAGGCTGCTCAGGGCCATTAAGGCCTATTAGTGCACTCAGGGCCCTGACAGGTTTTTTTCACTAGCTATTCAGTTTGTGAGGTCTGAGGACCAGAGGAAAATAAGTTTCCTTAGCATTTAAACCTGGTTCCTAGGGGGGAAAAAAAACCACACACACACATTCTTAATTACCTTAATAAGCTTGCTTAATTAGCAGTCTTGGCAGAAGGGACCACAGACTGAAGAGTTATAAAAATGAAATATTTCTCTTGAGGATTGAATAAGAGAAGTCATGCAGTAGAGCTGGGATTCACAGGCAGATATAAAGCATGCACCCTGACTTTGCTATAGCCACATCATGGGAGATTGGCAGTGCTGTCCAGCTTAAACCTTATCTGCCATTCCAGCCAATTGCCTTGGCTCCTCCTCACCTTATTATATAGTTAATATTGGGCTTTCTGTTGAGAGGGTGTGGATTGTCTTAGAGCTGAAAACTGTACAGATAGCCACACATACGTGCACAATTTGGCCAAGCGTAGACAAAACAAGATTTCTCCTGCTGTTTGTCACTGAGATTAAAGATGGATCGCTAATAGATTTGAAAGTGTGCTGCCACCTACCTGTGTATGACAATGTGAATTCAAACAGCCCTGGAGCTCTGAGAAAAGTCAATCTCCATGTTTGCATCAGCTAGGCATTTGAATGCATTTCTAGTGTGCTAGCTTCTAGCGTACGCTGCTGCCCCGCTGTATCCAAGAAGTCTAGATGAGGTCCAGACTGAGGCCTCCCACCAAAAAGTCCAACAGGAAGGACACGAATAAAACTTCAGTAGGATTCTGAGTTCTTTTGCTGCAGGGGCTGGAGGTGGCCACCTACTGCAAAATAGTAGAGTGTTAAATCCAGGAAGCTGCTGAAAACGTGGCCATGTGGAGGGTCATGCGTTCTTCCTTCTCCCTTCTAGTCCTAGCTACATTCTGACTCTTTATCTAACTTTCCTCCTGCTAGGTCTCCTCCTTCTATTTGTTATATTCGGCATTTGCTGTGTATCTATCTCCAAGGTTTCATCCAATAGAGTGAAAAGCAAGAAGAGGAAAATGCCTCCATCACATTTAGGTGACTCATATTACCTTGAAGTGTAACTGCAGTACTTATTTTCATGCAATTCAGCTGAAGACAGTTAAAAGGTACTAGAAGAAGTAATATATGTTTCTGAAAGAAAGCAACCTCCCTCTTCCTTTTGCTGGCAATGAAGCATCTGTCTCCAGTCAGCCTGCACCTTCTTTTGGAGCAATCTAAGTTAGCCCCTTCTCATGAACATCAGCTCCTATACAAGATGGCCAAAGGCTGATTTTGCAGGTCAGTCCTTGAACTGCTTTTGCAAAAAAAGAAAAAAAGAATAATTTAATTCAAAATAAGAGCCCTCCAGAAAAATTTCCTGTAGTACACTGGATTAGAATAGGTGTCTGCTGCCCAGCCTATGTAAGGCTGTGCCCTGTGCCACACTCAAGAGGAAGGGTGATCTGATTGCTTGGTGTTTAAAGAAAACCTTTCTCTGAGCTGAACAACAGCTCATCACTGCCAGCAGGGCTGCTCAAGCTGCTCGCTTTGAGCCAGCTCTGGGCATTGCCGGATCCAGGATGACATAACTCCCTAAACTAGTAGAAAGTTATACCTGCCAAAGGGGGAAAAAAATGTCTTTCTGGCATTTTAGGAAATTGAATTGCCTCAACAGAGTCTGACGAGTGCCAGAAGCGCCATAAGAGGAGGCAGGGCCTCGTGACCGAGAGGTGTGAGGAGAGGGAGCAAGGCCTCCCCTTTGTGGCAGCTGGGAGCTATCGAGTCGGCTCAGCTGCCCTTGGAAGCGCAGCACGAGGCTCCTGCCAAGTGCTCTAATCACCAAGCTGGCTGGGATTCAAGGCCACGGCACTCCCAGGCCTTCCCTGCTGACGCTGGTAGGCTTTGCGTGGCACCCGGGGCTGGTCCCTGGGGAGGGAGCACGCCAGGCAAGCGGAACCGCCAGCCAGGGACTGGGGCATGCAGGCACACATGGCTGGGGTGGAAACCACGCTCCAGGGCTTTCTCCTCAGATCAAAGCAATGCAGCCAGCTCTCCCCTCCTTTGCGCAGGCAGGCCTTGAGTGTGGGTCTCCTGCCTCAGTGGGGGTGTTGGGGGGGTTTAACTGAGGCTAAACCAGCTATTTCCACCAGCTATGCTATTTTTTTGTCATCAGGGCAGCAATTGGAAGGGGCTTCTTCAAGGAGGTTTGTCAGAGATCTCATTCGTGGATGTCATCAGGGGTTAAATACGAGATCAATGTCTACTTACTGAGCACAGTAAAAGAGAAGGAAAAAAAAAAGGAGGCAGTTCCAGGCGTGCCTAGGAGCAGACCTTTGGGCACCTCAGGAATTTTATTGGCAAAAATGTAGGCACTTGCAGACTTCAGACGCCTCCAGGGTTAGGCAGTAGCTGAATGGGGGTTCGAGTGTCTAAATTTTGGCCACAAATGCCTGCGGAGGCAGCTAGGCAGAGCTTACATGCCTAAACCTTTTTTGTGGCTGTAGCCCTAAACTAATATTATGGAAAATACCAGCAATTATTACGGACTTCTTATCAGATTGGAAATGTATTCTCTTTGCATAACTTTACAGTGGCCTCATTCATGTGGTGCTTAAAGAGGATGAATACCTGTTCTGCATGAGTAATTATTCCAAAGGCTCATGTGAGAGAGGTAGTTTATGACTGCTGAACAAGGCCAGCTATGTTTACCTATGAAGCTTCATGAGTTAAGCTAAAAATTGGTCTTACCACTCTCTTGCTGCTTCATTTGTCTGATTGCAAACAGATCCCAGAATACTAGATGCTTTTAGATGATTGATGCCAAGATGCTGCACTGAAAGAGAAATATTCTCTTTTTAGTGTTATCACATCCATGAGTATAAGCAAAGCCATGTCACGTGATGAAATGTAAATAGAGCATTTCTTAGAAAAACCATTTATTTACCTACCTGATTTATTATTCAGTGACATGTAGGCTATTTTTTCTTTGTTATTGGTACTCATGTTCATAATAACAAGGTACTTGACTTGAAGGTATTTGGCCAACCTTTCCAAAGTGCTATGTAAGCAGTAATCAGAGAGAGCTAGGTTCGTGAGTCAACAAATTGCTCTCCCATGTTGATCAAACAGTCTTGGCATCTCTGTAAAAAAATATAAAAACAGATTTTGGACTAGCCTACCCAGCTTTCTCTCTCTGAATTTATTGTATTTGCATTTGGCAGAGTTCAGGCTTAAAATAACCAAAGGTGCCAGCTGTTTTATTAATAATATTTTACATATGATTTTCATTTACATTTAGAAGGATAAATGAGATATCCAGTTAGCCTCCGCTGTTTTTGTTGCGATAAATGCTATTTCATTTATTCTACCTAGGGACAGATGCTTCTTTCACTTTACACCATAGTAACTCCTCTGCCTGCAGTGGAAAGCAGTCTACTACTTGGGTCAGAGCTAGTCAAGTCGTCAGAGCTGAGGCTTACGTGGAAAGCTTTCATTCCAACCCACGCAGGGTTGTTACTGAAGCAAGCAACGATCAGATATAATGCACAAGCTGCAGGCTTTAACAGGAGAAAGAACTCAAATAAATCTAAGTGGAATTTATACTCTATTTCTATCATCTATGTCCATCATATGCACTCACAAATCCAAGCCCTAAATCTGAAACACGTCGCTGTGGTTCATCTTGCTGAAGACTTTGCTGCTTCACTGTGTAAGTGAATCCCTTAAAATGAAATATATGTATTTGTGTAACTCACTGCTACTGTATGTGAAGTGTGTAGGGCTGCATGAATAATTACATTTCTTTTCAACTTGACTGCTGAACAGGCAACATTTTGGAAGCTTGGATTACACTGAAGTAACTCCCCCTCCCCAACCCCCACAGTCCTTACATGAAGTGAAAAACTGGAAAATGTCATTTTGCACTGAAAAGCTCCTTCTGACCCCCAAAATGAAACACTTCATTTTTGGACACATGTAGTAAAAGCAAAGGAAATGAAAAGGCCAGATTTCACAGAGCAAGGAATGGTGTTCTACCCCCACTTTCTATTCGGTAGCGTCATTTCAGGAGATGATTCTTCTGGCTTCCTGAGGTATCTGGAGCAGCCCTCTCCCCGCTGGGGACACAGCTCCCCATCCCATAAGAGATAACCGCACTGTGCCTTTTCAAGCAGCTCTCTTGGCCACACAGATTTCCTCCCTGCTGCCTTTTTCGTGCTGCCCCAAAAAGGAAGCGACACGAGGGGGAAAAAGGAGCAAAGTCACCCTTGCCTTGGCCAGGATGCAGGGGCGCATCATGCCGTGCCCGACGCGAGGGCTCGGCCACTGTGGGGATGCGCGCTTCAACCCGGGGCTGCGGCAGCAGTGGAGCAGGGTGCCTCAGGGAGCACGAGGGCCGGGGCATCAGTTCAACACCCTTGAAAGCTTCAGGAAGCAGTCCGTGGCACCAGGAAGGGCAGCCTACCCCGAAGTATGGTGCTGCGGAGTGGAAGGGTGCACCAAGGGTGCTTCCAAGCACCCTCCTGTTGGCGCCGTTTCGTTTTGTCTAAGTAATTAAATGTTCCCTGAACCCCGGTGCTGCTTTTTCCTCTGGGAGGCAGTCCTTGCCATAAGGCTGCACGGTTATGCTGCTTTTTAACCAAAGGGTTACTTCAGCGTTTGGTTTCTACCAAAATGTTGTTAAAATAGTTTCACTTATTGCAGGACCACAAACATCTGTTAATTATGGGTACAGGGTTTTATTTATTTTTTTATTTAATGTGTATATCTTATTGACCTTCACTTAAGCACTCTTGAAAATTTTACCCCATATAGAGACTGCTGTGTTGAAAAGTGCTAACAATTACCATCATGGGAGTCTTGGATTCAAAGACAGTTTGCAGATCTCATTAAGCCAATGAGCTTGCCAAGTCCCCTCTTTTCAGTTCAGTAGAAGGAATGGTTAAGCCCCTCCATACAGAAAAACAGCTGCTAACAAGGAAGGCTGCCTGACAAGGCACCAAAGTCCTGGGTGAGCCAAACTCACCCAGGTAGATTTATCTGCTTTGATATCAGAAGATCATGTCTCACACTGGAAAATTCAGCAAGTTGCAAGCAGTACCCCGAAAAGCAGCAGAGCCTCCTCAACACGAGGCTCATGAGCAAAGCAGAGTCAGCATCTTGGAGCCAGAAAAAAAGTCTCCTAACTGTTTCTCTTGTGTCCCAGAAAATATGACTGCTGCATATTCTCTGTCAAGAAGCATGGTTACAATGCAAAACAAGACTGGCAAGGCCTTACTAGTGTAGAATGATGGGCTACCATGCCAGAAGTCAGTAGGGCTGCATTATGCCATGGGGGAGTCTTGTCACACGTGCAGCAGAAAAACACTTTTTTGAGAAGTTTCAAGAAAATTAAGAAGCACAGAACCAACTCTTTGGAGAGTAGTAAGATGCTCCAGCTGTTCAACAGATCTGAAAGCCAGGCTACTTATTTATATACAAAATATAGATAGGGGAAAATGCCTAGGGTTAGACAGCAATGTTTCTGTACATATAATGCATTTGAGCTGTTTGTGTTGGGGACACAATACAGGCACCCAGCTGCATCAGGTTGAGTGGAGTAGATTGATGTTCCATGATCCCAGTAACATTTACAGAGCAAGGTTAATTTAAATAGCTTCTAGTCTAAATAGGCAAGACATAGATTATAATAGTGGCATTAGTATTTTAGCAGGGAACTCAAAAAATAAGAAGGCAGATTCTCAAAGGTGTTGAGGCTACTGAATTCAGCAGTATGGAGGAACTTCATACCTGTGAGGGCCAGGGCTCTGAAAATTCATGACAGGTGTCCCGGTTCCTAGCCCAGTGCTGTCTCTAGAAGCCATCCCTCCTCTTAGTTGTATTATGGTCAGTGCAGGACATTTTCAAAAACAAGAGTACTTTCAAAGGGCAAGTTCCATTTCTGCTCTATTTGCAGTGAAGTTACAAGGACAAAACCTCATTTTAACTCGGCCCAATCCCATCAGGCGGTATTTGGCTCACACCACTCCATTAGATTTAGGAGTCTCCCTACATTTTTATTCAGCCATACACCCTTGCAGGCACCAATGCAGTATAAGAAGCAGAAGCAGCCAAACATGATCACAAGAAGTGTGATGCAACTGAATACCCCACAGTGGCATGGCCATTAAGGAGTGTTATAGAAAAAAAGGAAACAAACAAAAAAGAAAAAAGATTTGTCCTGGAATACAAATGAATGATAAAATCCATGAATGAACATCTTTGAGATGTTGGTTTTACATTTAATTTACAGTTTCCAAGTGTTTATCTCTTGAGGTGGGATTTTACATATTGACCATAGGTAGAACACACCCCATTTCATAATTCCCTTATCTTACTTAAATAGGAAACAGATAGTGACTGCTCACACCTTGCTAATAGAAAACAGTGATGTATAGAAAATCTCCTTATCACCTTCAGTTCCCACACAGGTGTTCTTGGTGATAAACCACTGAATGATATAAACTGTGATTGCAGCTAAGGAGTTAAAATTGGTCAATACGAAAGGAACAGAAAAATAAATTAAACCACGTTTCCTGAGTGGGAGTTTGAACTGAAATTCTCAAATATAGGGGCATATGTGAATTCTGTCACTGTGACTGTGAAGGACAGAATCTGTTGGACCTCTCTTTAATAAAACTTGACCTCACTTACAACCTGCAAACATTTACTCTCATATTTTGCATTTATCTTGATGAGATACTCATAGATATAATAAGGACTAGACAACAGCTCTGTATCATATCACCTCTGTTTTTAGCCAATGATATGAAAGTTGAAAGAAAATATTGAGCTGTTCGCTGATGGGTTTATCTCCGAGTGAGAGTCATCACAGAACAGCCGTTCTACAACAATTCCTGAACAACAATAATAGGATAGCAATTCCAGAATAAGAAACCTTTGTTCTGACTTATTTTTATCAACTTCCAACTAAACTCTGAGTTTTTCCAGCGATTGTTCTCTGACACGTACTAGAAAGCATTTAAATGTATTTAACCAGCTTTTCTTGGTGAAGGAGAATGAACTTAAAGTCTTTAAGGTCTTATCTTGATCTTACAGCCTTACCTGTGTTTCTGCAGTCCTGCAACGAGTATTTTGAATATGAAGATGATTGTAAAGGTATTAGTTCTATGCCTTCTTTGAGTATTTTCATTTCTGTACTCTAAGAAAAATTTATATTCTCTAATACCCATTTTTTTTCCAAATAGGCCACTGGAGGTCTAAAAAAAAGCAAATGCATGACTCCTATTCTAAAAACAAATGGATCAAGTCTTTGCTCCTCTGAAAGCCATAGCTTTCATATCCAGAGTCATTAGGGACAAAACCGGAAACTGCAGCATGTGATTATGTTTTTGAAAACGCAGCCTCTGGCACATTTCCATCAACTGCATTTATTATCTAATAATGGGATCAACTAAGATTAGTTATACACAAAAACTTTCATGAAATGTAGGGGAATAGAGTATCAGTTTAAAAGAAGCAGGAATTCAAAGGTATATTTAACTTTACAAGAATTATTCCAATATTGTCTCAAGGGCTTTCGCTAGAGCGACACAGCCTAATGCTCTCTGCCAGGGCACAACTCTTGCTTTGTATTTATTCATGTGGCATTAACAGGCTGTAGTGGCTGCACTGAGCCAGGCAGACATCATCACTGCTAGACAGGAATACCTATCTAAAGAATAGCATTGCCATCCTGTTATCAATTCTCTACAAAGTTTCTGCTAACTTGTCAGGAATAAAAGGTACTTCCAAAGAGTGGTTATTTTGTTTGAGGAAAAAAAGAATTTTTTTCTCAGTGGAGTATAGATTATTGCTCTTGGACTGTCTGGTAATTGAACCCTGTTGCACAAGCAAGTCTCACTTTTTTAAACTTTGGAGGTATCATTTTCATTAGAATACGTTAACAGTATCAGACCTATCAGATTTTTCTCTTATGTCTGCCTCACATATTTTCTGTAATTGTTTTATGCCTCAATCTGCCTCCAAGCAGAAAATGTCTTGGCAGGCCTTTCCATAATATAGTCATCTGACCTTCCATATCTAGGTGTTTACCCACACTCTGAAACCTGAAGTGAAACAATTGCTTAATAGTTGATTTTACTACTGAGAGGATAGCTAAAGGAAGAGATACTTTCTACCTTCCTTCTATCAAAGCCAGAGTTTTTAGTTAACTTGCAAAAAATAACCTTGGACTACCTTCCACAAGGCCAAGTGTTTTCTGAGTGGGATTTTTTGGGCATCTACGAGAGCAATCAAGTGAGAGATAGAGATTTCAAACTGCAGTGTGTACTTTATTGATGACAGCATTCAGTGGATCTGCACCTCCCAATGCTTCCAGTTTCTCTATATGTTACACACCATACCAGTATCTAGGTGTAGCATGCCATACTTTAGCAAGTATTGCTTTCTCCAACCCTCTACTAGAGAATTCTTTACTCAGGTTGGATGGGATTAGAAGTTTAGATCAACAGCACAGCTAGAAGAGGAGTTATTCCAGGAGCAATTGTAGAGCGTCCTAAATATCCCTAATTACTCCTAGGCATTCTTGATGAGCATCAGAGATGCTTAGCACTCCTCAAGATATCTTGTCACAGGATAAGACCCTCATAGTATGATTTAATACCGATTAGTCAAAATGCACTAAATCTCTTGAAGTGTCTTTTCATGCTTGAGACTTATTACACTAATTTTATCTGGAGCAGACAAAAGCAATTATGTACATACATTTTTTCTTGCTGCAGTTCTTGCAACACAAGTGTTGGTTGTGGATTAGACCTCACACACTAGCACCATCAGTATGGCTTCATGCCATTGGCTCTTCCTCACTTCACTCAGTCAGGGACAGTTGGATGCCACCATCTGTCACAGCCTACAGGGAGGCACAGGGTTCAAGAGTGGATTCTCATGAGAAAGACTGCAATGTGAACAGGAAATGGCCCACCAGGAATCCTTTCTTGGGACAGGCTCCTGTGGAAAAGAACAAACCCTTATTGTCATTATTGCAGTTTTAACTTTATATTCTTGTGCTCATCCTTTGACTCATTCTCTCTCCCCCCACTCCATTCCCATCCTAGGGGTGGGAAACAGGATATTTTGTGAAATTCTTTCCTTCCTGTGTGAGTCTACAAGATATCTTTAATTAGCAACTCTGCAATGGGAGTGAAGAAATAAGAAGCAAAACTGTGTTGCTCAGGAGGTCATAATAAAGGTGCTTTTTGAACAGGTATTTAAGGCACCACTTCCTGTCGTTTATGAAGATTATTACTGTTCATATTTTAAAATATTACCAAAAAAAAGTAAACATACTTCCCTGCAGAACGAGCGGCCTGGAAGAGCTTTACAGGAGAAACTGGAACTCAATGTTTGATGTAAGGGAGACCTCTGCCTGCTTCCCCAGGAAGAGTTCCAGGCAACAGGCATTTCACCTAGCATGTAGGACCGTTTCTTTCATTCTACTCTGGAAGCTAACCAAACTGGTGCGGCTTTCTACAGATCACCATTATGGTTCCAAGACCTTTTCTGATGTAGGTATTTGACGTTATGGAAGCACGGGCAGCAATGCTGGCTTGGAACAAAATCAAAATAGAGACAAGCCTGGCAAGCTTGGAGCAGGTGATCCTTCCCTGCCCTGCTCTGTGTGATGGTAGGTGCAAAATGCTATGAAGTCTTACCTAGCAGGACTGTCCTTAGACACAAGCAGTCCAAGTGATTGACCCCAGCTGCTGGGTGTCCTACAGGTTTGACTTATTCGGCTCCCTCACACCCACAGTGGGTTGGAACTTCCTTTTCTAAAGACTTCTAGGCTGCGGGCACTGTTACAAAGCCCTAGGTGACATTAGGATGACTCTGGTTTCTGTTTTTTTGTTTTGTTTGGCACTCTGATTTTTTTTACCTGACATCTGGCAGGTAAACTCATTTACGCCAGTGCAGAGTAGCAGGCACTCAGTTTGTGGAAACAAACAGTAATTGCACAAGAAGCCAGACTAGGGGAAAAACAAGCTCTTTGTGCTAATATGGCATTCCTTCAGCTCTAAAAGTGCAGGAGTCTGAATCAAAAAAATTGCAGAATGAAGTACAAAGTTGTGCTATTGGCAGAGTATTTGTCATACCCCAGCCGCATGTAAAGCTCAGTGTGCAAAATGATGGAGAATATCATCAGATTATACATCAGATCTGAAAAGTCTCGCACAAACAAATGAAGTGAAACTTTCTTCATCCTGAGCTTGTCCACCAGATCTCTCGATTGCGCTATCATGTTGACTCATTTGTTCACAGCTGCTTCAGAATATAACTGGAGGCAATTCCTCCTGATTTTCATACAGACCTAAACATGAAACAAGAATATGCTTGGTCATATTCTTGCTTTAACTGCATGCACAGAGTCAAATTTGCATGCCTCGATAAACCGGCTTGCAGCAAAAAATAGAAACTGCTACTGGTAATAACTGAACCTATAACTTTGAGAAAAGATTACTAGTGTGGGAATATTACTAATGGCATTTAGTGTCTTTATCACATCTTGTAAAGTGTTATCAATCAAACTACAGGTGTTGAGCATGTAGAAGCTGTAGCTTGGGGCAATAGATAAGAACTTTTCCTTTAGATCTTAAGCACTGTTCCCTACTAGAGAAGTTTTCCAAGTTTTCCTTAGAGAAAGTGTCAGAGTATCAAGTGAAAAAAGAAAGATTTTTTTGAGGGTTTGGGGGAGAAGAGGGAGAGGATTTTGTAGAAAGTTTTAGGACCAGCATTATAAACCTCTCAGAATGACTTCCAGTACCAATCTCCTCCCCAATCACAACCAGATGTTGATTATATTTACCAAAGAATCTACCTTTTTTTAAACAAGAATTTGTTAGTATTATTAACAACTACAGCTCATGAACTTATGAAATATATGCGGAAGCAGGGGTAAGCATATTTGAGCCATGTAAGCTTGACATGTAGTCACCTGAAATAAATGTGTGGCAACATTATGCTGAGACTTATTTGCTGTACTGGGATCTAATGCACACCACTTGGGTTGCTCTGGTCCTGTACCACAGCGAGTGTTACACATAATACACAGAAGGTAAAGAAATCAATTTCAATGCTACAATTGAAAGCCACTATAAAATTCCACTATTACTGCTATGCTGTAAATCACATGTGTTCTTGATTCCTCTGACCTCTTTTATGAGTGAGGTGACTTGGTGGGTTGGGGCCTCAGTCTTTCATCTGCATTCAGATCCTGCTTGAGGTTGGGAGTGAAAATGAATTTGGTGGCCTTACTTTAAGCCTCCATTCAGGTACATTATAAAACCACCAGCAGGCTCAGGGCTTCTGTGAGAGTGGGCTCTGCATAATAAGGCTGAAGAGCCTCCTGAAGAGCTGAAGAGCTGCACAAAGAAACTCTCATAACTAGGTCTGCATTCCCTTTTAAAATGCATGTATTCCTCTCTCCAAAGTCAGAAATAGTTGCATATTTAGCAAGGAGAGAGAATATGCCTATGCTTAGCTCTAGTTTGAACCACTGTTTTCTGTTTTTGGGAGACGTAAATCTGTAATTCTGAGCAAGCTATACTTTTTTTAAGGCAGATGAAATTACTTCCTTCCTACTTTCTTCTTACTCTGAAATGATGGAATTACTGAAAGAAAAGATTGGCATATAACATACAAGTCCTAAACAGGCTAAAAGCAGATAAGACCCCACGGCCTCATGTGGTTAGAGAGACAACAGTTATGGGCCCAGCACTGCTGTGCCTGACACACTCTTTATTTTGTGCCTTCTCACCTTAGCTAACAGGAAGCTCCTGCTTTGAAGCATTACTAGAGGCTGTCAGAGCAGATAAAAATCCTCCCTGAAGCTCCAAAATAAAAACCCTTTTCACTTCTGCAGTCAGTCAAAGCCCTCAACTCATTTTTAAGGCAGATAAAAATTCTGACAGTCATTTCACAGACTTGGAACAGAGGTAGAGATGTACTGAGGGACTTTGCTTAAAGGCAGGCACCAGAAAGTGGTAATTGGAAATTTGTCTCCAGTTTTTCAATCCTGAGTTCTAACTACTGAAGTAAAGCCATGGGAAGTGCAAGCCAAAACCAGTCATGAAAAGAGAAAAAAAATGCTCTGCTAGAAAAAAGCTCTACAAGAATTTCTGACACAAAAACTGATATTGGAACTCTCCTAACATGAACCATTGCAGCTGAAACAAAATGAACTTCTTCATCCATAGCTGTATTTTTAAATGAGGTGATTTTCTCAGGACTTCAGTCAGCCCCTGAGTGTACTGCGCGTTTAGTTAAAACATTTTTAATAACTATCTCGTTTCACATTGAACATCTCCTATAGCCTCTGAGCTATCACAAAGAGTGTTCAAGTATTTGTTTATCTAATAACGTCACTGCCCTTGAAAGGTAATAATTTTTCATATCCAAATTTATGATGGGTCAAAACTCAGACCCTGACTCTGAAGGCAACAGCCTTGAACTCAGGACCTGAGGTTATAGCTACACTATGGTGCAGTCCAGATATGAGGAGCTAGCTTTGAAAGCACCTAACCACAGCAATAAGAAATAAATGCAAGTTAATTTAACTCATTTACTACCTTAATCTAATAGTAGTAGATTAGCCCCAATCTGAATAGCCCAATCTCAGTGGCCCAGATTGGCTAATTTGCATACTTCAAGTTATCTTTCTTACTCACAGAATCACAGAAAATCAGAATGGTTTAGGTTGGAAGGGACCTCTGGAGATCATCTAGTCCAACCTCCCTGCTCAAGCAGGGTCCTCTAGAGCATATTGCCCAGGATCACATCCAGACGGGTTTTGAATCTCTCAAGCGAAGGAGACTCCACTACCTCTCTGGGCAACCTGTGCCAGTGCTCTGTCACCCTCACAGTCGAGAAGTTTTTTCTCAGGTTTAGGTGGAACTTCCTGTGTTTCAGTTTGTGCCCGTTGCCTCTTGTCCTGTCACTGGGTACTACGGAGAAGAGACTGGCCCCATCCTCTCGACACCTTCCCTTCAGATACTTGTACACACTGATGAGATCGCCTCTCAGTCTTCTCTTCTCCAGGCTGAACAGGCCCAGCTCTCTCAGCCTTTCTTCATAGGAGAGATCTTCCAGTCCCCTCATCATCTTAGTAGTCCTTTGCTGAACTCACTCCAGGAGCTCTATGTCTCTCTTGTCCTGGGGAGCCCAGAAGTGGACACAGTACTCCAGGTGAGGCCTCCCCAGGGCTGAGGAGAGGGGCAGGATCACCTCCCCCCACCTGCTGGCAACACTCTGCCTCATGCACCCCAGGATCCCATTGGCCTTCTTCGCCACAAGGGCACACTGCTGGCTCATGCTTGACTTGTTGTCCACCAGGACTCCCAGGTTCTTCTCTGCAGAGCTGCTTTCCAGCAGGTAAACCCCCAGCCTGTCCTGGTGCAGGGGATTATTTCTCCCTAGGTGCAGGACCTTGCACTTGTCTTTGTTGAATTTCATGAGGTTCCTCTCTGCCCAGCTCCCCAGCCTGTCCAGGTCCCTCTGAATGGCAGCACAGCCCTCTGGTGTATCAGCCACTCCTCCCTGTTTCGTGTCATCAGCAAACTTGCTGAGGAGGCACTCTATCCCTTCCTCTAAGTCGCTGAGTAATATTGGACCCAGGACTGACCTCTGGAGGACACCGCTAGATACAGGCCTCCAACTAAACTCTGTGCCACTGCTCACAACCTTCTCAGCCTTAAATAATCTGGCTGGCTGATTCTGATAACATTTCAAACAGTTGTTGGTTGTGATTTCCAATTTGCTTCAAAACTAGTCAGACTTGGTTCAGACAGAGTTCAAAATCTCTGAGTATATCCTACAGAGTAACCATGCCCCAACTCTCTCCTTCGTTCCAGCAGCTTAGCTAGTTCTCATCCCCACCTGGAACGTCCCTAGCTCATCTCTGCTGCAAAGAGGCTCCAGAGATGATCTGAATGGCAGAAGGACAATGCTGGAAAGCTGAGCGGAGCAGCAACACAGCAGCACTTCTAAAAACTCCTGCAGTTGAAAAGTGGAGGAAGGAAGGAGACAGAACTTTCTACCTATGCCTTTTAAATGCTGTGACTTCATGAATGCTTTCTTATCTCTCTGAAATACAAAGAAAAGTGCCTGTGAGCAATAGATCAAGAGCCAACATGTCCTTTCAGCACAAATGACACTAAATTAATTTATACAAGACACCAGGCAAAAAGCTTTTTCTACAAGTGAGAGCTCAAAGCAAGTCCAAGCCTTTACGGAGTTTTCCTTATGCCTTACGTTCACTTCACAGGACAGCTTCAGATAGAAAAACATTTTTTAAAAAAGTTGTTTTTTTAAATATGTATTTGCTTTTAAACAACTCCATTTCATTGGGCACTCTTTTACCAGGCACAGCAGAGATGATTCAGAACAGAATCTTGAGATAATATTTTCAACAGTGACTTAGGAGTCTAACCAACAAGCATAAAGTCCTTAGGGACAAGGTTTTCTAAATACCTCACCAGCTAAATGCATGAACAGATGCCTGCTGGACAGTTAAATTACTTCTTAGCAACTCTCCCAGGCACCTTACTCACAACCCAGGTTATCAACATACCTTTGAAAGTTGTTTTTTAAGGTGCTTTCAGCTCACATTTCTGTTTTTGTATATAAAGGTTTTGTGGTGCTATTTCCCATTTTTAAAAGTGAGGGAGGCATCTAAGCTCAGATTTTTTAAATTACATAGGTGTGAATGGCTGCACATGTGCACCTAGGCATCTCAGGCCCATTGAAATCAGTACAGATAATTTAGAGCTTTCTCTTTATCATTTACACTTTGCTACTGTTGAGAGCAGCAATGCATAAATGCTTTTGAAAATATGGCCCTAATGGCTAAGTTACTTTTGAAGGTAAGGTTGAGGCTCTTAATTCACTTACAAGTGCTACATCTTCTTTATCTCAGGTCTACAGAAGTGTTTGTCTGTCGCCTAAAACCACAAAGCCTGTTTTTGATTAGGCTGTGGGTACCACTATTAGGTTATTATTCTGAGATAGCATCATGGACAAACTTCAGGTGTAACTTAATTAATTTAAACACTATCATTATTTTGAATGGAAACATTTTATCCAAGCAAAGGATCACCGCTGAATAACTATATTTGTACTGTGGAATAAATATGGCTCTAGGGTTCAGCTAAGGTCTGCAGTCATAGTTATTGTATTAATACTTATGTTATACTGCTGCCTACAGGTCCGTATTTAAAATTAGGGTGTTACACCAGCACATGTTTAAACAAGGCTTCTGTCCCAAAGGTTATAAAACTGGCAAGATAAGAAAGGAGTGGGGAAAGGTTACACTTAACTGAACCCATTTTTACTTTTCGTGGCTTTATTTGTGGATGTAACTGAATGCGCCTCTTGCACTGCCCTGAAGCAATTATAACGTGGCTGGTTTCACAGCAGAGTTGTATCTGGGAGAGCAATTTAAAAAGAAGAGGATGATAGTGGTGGCTGTAGTAGAGGTGCTGTGGAAGAAAGCGCAGAAATATCTTGAATGATAGCCTTTTACACACCAGGTGGATATCCTGATCTTTGCTACAGTGTTTGTGTCATACTGAAATTTCCACATGCGGACAAGTGCAGATTTTCCAAAGAAAACAAAGGTATTTTTGGAAACTTCCACAGGTTTTGCAGAGAATATATTAACTTTCTCCTCCTAAAAGGTCCTTTACAAGTAGCCCATGGACCCTAAGGACTTCTCATGTTGAATATCACTGGTATATTGAAAAAAACAGTGTGGTACATGCCTTTCTGCATCTCCAAAAATGACTCTTGAGTAATGCTGCAGTGGAAAGCTGGAAAGTCTCTCTGTCTCCTTATATTTCATCAAAATAGAACATCTTTCTTGGGGAGGCTGGAGTGGAGAGGGTGTAGTTTTCCTCTTCAGCTCATGAATTCTTTGAGTACTGACTCTAATTTCCACAGAAATATTCTGGATTTTAAAATGTTTTCCAAATAGAAGGAGAAGAGATTTCAATTTACTGTTTTTTACAATTTGTTCTTCTTCTCCTCCTTACAGAACTGATTTTGGCAACTCCGGGTGCCATTGACGGCAGTTAAAACTAATGGCAAGTGAAATAGTGTTTCCCCTTGTGCCACATATTAGGTCTTTTTTGCAAAAAGAGATGCCTTTTTTGGGCAAGTAACAAACAGCCATTCCTTAAGATCATGTGAGCTAGTAGACATATTAACATTTAACACTCAACATCCTTAGCACCCTGGAAGCTGGATAAGATATTAGTCACCTTTAACTAAATTGGCTGATGCTATGAAGTTTCCAGTGACTGCTGCAGTACAGTTTCCTATATAATGGTTGGTCTATTTGTTGCAATATGACATCAGGATTACTGAATTACTACTTACAATTGCAAATGCAGAGTCAAAAGCAGTGTCACAGCTAGGGTAAGTAAACACTACAAATTATAACGGATGGAAATACCTTTCTAACAGCTACAGTGTATTAGTAGTCCAAAGACCACCCACCGTAACAGCTAGTCACATTGACAAATTCCTGCTTTCAGAAGGCAGTTGGGTATTTTCCCTTTAATGGACTGCAGTCGTCTTGGTGATATCCTGTACAGGCTCCTCTCTGATGGTCTGTCCATGGGCTGTGGACCATGCATATTAGGCTGTTTGAATTAAGTGAAAACCAACGGCTGTCCGTGCAAGAAGGCTCAGCCTGCCAGACTCAAATTTTAACAGCCACTGTTGTGAACCCACTCACACAGAGTATCCCTGAGGAGTCCCGCTGCACTGTTCTTACTCTCAAAGGTCTGCAGCATAGTCTCCTGCAGCACTTCAGTCACATCAAGTCCCATTTTCGAAAGTGGGGTGAAGGATCAGGACCCCACATCGCACAGACTGCCAGACAGACACAGATTCTTCATTCTTCAATGCCCAGCTCCTCAAGCAGTATACAGACATTTGATTCCCAATTTTCCCAGTGGGTTATGGAATCTCTTGGAGAATGTAGGCTATATGTTTGTTTGAGAATGGCACCCCAAGGTCCTCCGTGGAAGAAAAGTTGGGTAGAAGTGTTTACAAGTTCTCATTATACTTTTCAGGGGAGAAATTGGTGTTTTCTCATAATACTTCAACTAATAGGAGAGCCAATTTTCAAAAATACTCACAATTTTGAAGAAGGCTTAACTTTTGAAAAAATATTAATAAAACAAAAATCTTTCCTGATGAAGTCTAGCACTTTCAGGGAATCCACAGAAAAACTGCTTTAGATAAGATATTTCAGGTTTTACGCTAAGTTCAAGGTATGTTGGAAAATGGCCTCAGTTCAGTGAGTGGAAACATGACCAGTAAAGTTCACTGTATACTGCAAGAATCAAAGTCTAATTAGGGGAGTTGGTCAGATTTTTAGATTATCTAGCTAATATCCAACCACGGCATCAAAGGTTGAAAATGTGACTCCATCTCTTTAGAGCAAGAAACACTTCACTAAAATTCAGTCTGTACAACTAACACTAAAGTCATTTAACGAAACAATTGTTCAAAACAAAAAAAAAGTTTAACTCCACTATGAACTGCAAACTTAACTACATATCTTCCTTCCATAGACTTTCAGACGAAACAGGCACAACGGCTTTCTTTAACGCAACCCAATCCTGTTCAACCGGGTATGGGTTTCAACTAAGTCACCTTTGTGGAGGAATTCAAAATCAGACATTTAAAAACTTTTTTTTAAGGCTGCCACAAAAAGAAAAAATTCTGGATAGGTCACAGCAGTCACACTGCTGAAACTAGCACGTACTGGTGCAAGAGCAAGCCAGCGCCAGTTAACCACACCACAGCCCCTGGCTGTGTGCATGCTTGTGATCTGCTCCGATAGCTCTTAGCCTGCCTTGATGGCAAAGAAAAAAGAGTGCTTACGCTTAAGGAACAACAAAAGTGACCGGCAACTTCTTAAGAAAAAAACTACGTCTGTAGTTCTAGCCGTTTTTCAGAAATCTGGCCCCAGTTTGTGGGAGAGGAGGTCTCAAACAGAGCTGGCTGGGCAACAGTAGAATTAGTCCATTTCAGAACTTTGCAGGTTTTCAAATCTTTTCACACAGTCTTGAAATGAAAACAAAAACTTTTCAAATGGAAGGGTGTGGAATTGTGTTGAAACGTCTATTTCTGGGTTAGAGAGATCAAGCTTTCAGTCAGACTTTCACATTGGACAGGACCAGAAACCTCATCCTGGTCTACAGAAACCTCCCCTCTGAAAGATTCATCAACACCAATCTCTCTGCAAAATGTTTTGGCTTCCAAGAAGCAGCATATTTCAGTTAAAATATATTTCATCAAACATGTTCTGACCAATTCTAATCTTGAGATGACAGTGTGTCACCAGTTTGTGGAAAGATCAGTATTAAAAAAAACCTCATAAAAATAGAGGACTGGAAAAGAAGCTGAGGAACAACCAGTCACTCAAAAGTCATTTGTCAGCAAAATTAAATATAAGTTCAGGCATATTTTGTTTCATTACATACTGTTCCTTTTAGGGGTGAGGCACTTACAGTCATTTCTCTATTTTGGAATGAGACTTTAAGACAAACAGTTTATCCTCAGCTTGGCAAAAGAAAGTTACATTAATGTCCATCAAGATGAAAGCTTCATGAAACAGAAAATTTTACATTTTAAATAGTGTCTCTGTTCTTCAGCTGTGTGTAAACTGTTCCTCTTCAGGATGAATTGCACTGTTCACAATCAAATGTCTGTGTCTTGATATAAGAGTTTCCAGTAATCTGGAAAACACATAACCACATATTTTATATATATTTACATATGTGTATACATACGAACGCACACACACACACCCCACACATCTGGAGTTCCATTAAAATATTGCTCCTGCCTCCTTAATAACCACAGTTACAGCAATCAGTGTCCCTGGAGTTGAACAGGACTGGGATAAACTCAGTAATCTCTGATCATCAGCATTTGTACAAATAAATTTTATGTTTCATGTGCACGAGGGATGAATATCAACTTAGATTTTTTTCCTCATAATAATTTTTACAGAAAAAAAAGTTTGGAAATTTTCCAGATGGAGAAAAAAATGATTTTCCCGAAAGAAAGGTTTGGGAGCAAAATGGGCACTTCTTTGTCTTTTTCAAGATTTTTGCAAGTTGGAAAAGAAATAGAAAGTATGAACTTTAATCCTTACACCATCATGTTATCAAGCTACAAAAGAGTCTGTACTACATTCTTTCTGATAAAGTGAAAATTAAAGTGAATTACACAAAAGGTAGTTTTTAAAAGCAAAGCAAAACCGCTTTTAAATGAAAACATTACCATTTCATTATCATTTGTCTTTTTAACAGCCTTCCCAGCTTTTAGAGGAAGAATTAAAATATGATGTATATTTCTCATCACATTTGAAATAATATGTTAAAAAGGTCGAATTTCCTTTCTTTCCAGGAGATTTCCTAGATTTTTAATATTTTTTTCCACAAAATTTGTTTATTGAAATAAATTTCAGCTTATTCTAGTTTACATTTTGGATTCTCTCAAAATTCAAGTTCAGAACTTCAAAGCAAGCCATGTCCAGAACCATTACTTTTGTATAATTTTGATCAAAGCCATGGAAATTCCTGGTTCCACCCTGGAATAATGAACTGGTCCAGGTTTCATCTGAAATTCAGCTCTGAGGAGCTGACTTACCCATCTGGTTTGCAAGAATCCCTCTGTCTTCACCGCACCCGAGAGCATCCCCTCATAGCAAAGCTCTCCTCCAACTGGCACGTGTCCATGCAACGCAGTCCCCATCCCCACTATGTGGGGGGGCACCAGTGTTTCACAGTCAACCTCCAGTTTACCAATCTTCTCCAAGTTCAGAAAGCTCCTTCTTTCTGTGTCTTGAAGATCAAGGTTTTTTAGCAATTCACTCACTAGCTGTTTGCCTGAAGAGACCCTCCCACTGCTCTTTTATCCTCTGAAGGTAGGCCAATTTTCAATAACAGCTTGATGGTTGCCTGGGTTAACCTCCGCCTTGTTTCATGAGGCTTATAAACCCCAATGCACCTTTCAAATAGCATGTCTGATCAGACTCCTCTGGCAGATAAGCAGAAAATTAGAATGAGCTTCTCTAGGAAAGTGCCAACACGAATCTACTGTCATCTTCCAGAGATGCCCAGCAGGCAGGTGGGCAATCCTGCCTTCAGATAAGGAGGTTATTTACAGCAGGGACATGGAAAAGGTGGCTCTGTACTAACAAGAAAAAAACACTACTTATCTGCAAGGCAAGGCTGTGATGTCACATAAACACAGCATTTATTCCTATAAGGACTTCAAGGCAAGCATCCGGATGGCATTTCAAAGCCATTAAGTGTAATATGTATGAGATTTACATGGCTATTCAAAATGAAGACTATGCATGACCAAAGTTTTTTATATTGTAAATATAAAGACAAAAACCTCCCCAACTTCCCCCACCCTAGAAATCTTAACTGGTCAGATGCACCCTTACATTATTCTACTTAGTTTGTATTCAAATCTTCAGATTTTAATTCAAGGACTTTTGTCTTGCAGATCATCCTAACATTTGTAGGATTTTTCCCCCTCACACTAGTAACCTCTTCTTCTTCCATTACCAATAATGACTGCATGATGAAGCCCTATGTAAAAATCAGGCAACAAAACATTATTTACTTTAGCCTTTTTTGAGATTCCATCCTTCGTTTGGGGATGTTGGGTGGGGGGAGCTTGTAAGGAGTTCCAGGCTCAAATGTAAAATTCTCTGTGCAGGAAAAATCAGGTCTCACAGCTGATCTAAACTATGGTTAACAGCTATATTGTCCATTGAATGCTCAGTGGTAATTCAGAACAGCCCTCCAGGCTTCTCTGACTGACTCTGGGGATCTAATCAGTCCCCTGGGGACCTGGGATTCCTGGCGCACAAGTTATCCTTCCTAAACCTGGAAATTTCCAAAATGAGTGGAATTTAAAAAAAAATATTTTTTACTTCAATGTTTTAAGTGATTTCTTTTTAATTAGAAAAATCAAGGAGTTCAGAATTCACCACAAAATCCCCCCTCCTTAGAGCTCCATTCTCTCCTACGCATTGCACTCCTTTCCCCCAAATCCTAAACATACATCTAACCACCTCCTACTGCGGTCAATGGGATTTACTCAGATTCCTGTCCCCCCTGAAATATATAGGAACTCAGTTCCTCTGCACTTAGAGCATCTAAGCTCATTAGATTCATTGCACAGCACGACCTGGGAAAGAAATTGCTTCAAGGTGTGCAAAGCATTTGCTGCCTACTGCTGTCAACAGAGAAAAACCACCGAGAATCTGTTATGAGGGTAAAAAAGAAAAAGAAAAAAAAAAAGGAAGAAGGAAAAAGGCCCACAGGGCAAAAAGGAACACACAGAAAGAGAAAAGGGAAAAGGGCAGGAAATGCAGGGTCCCCCCACTGATACAACCTTCACTTCAAAATAAGCTGAGTTTGCTATGGTTGCACAGTTTGAGCTTGCACAAGTGTCTCTGCCTGTCTCTGTACGTGGGCTATTTTTGCATGCTGATGACTTTCTGAGCCTTCAGTTTGAGACTTCATGAAAGTCTTTAAAAATAGCGGCTCTTACTCTGCTTTCTGATGATTAGCTGCCTAGTGGTGTGTCAAATGAGGGCAACCAAAACCACTTGTTGTTTGGAAATGCTGGTGCCTGTGCAGAAACACAGTCCTCCTGAAGACACCTGGATGGCTGAGGGGAGGAGGGGGAAAGAGGTGAAAGTGTGCCACTTACAACTTGAAACACACTGGAAATGTTTTCTCATCCCCGTTGCTTTGTTGTTATCCATTTACGGTGCAAGAACTTGAACGATAAACCTTGAGGCAACAATGTTAAAATCTATAAAAAACATTACCTTCCCCCATGCAGTCAAATCTCCCTGGAATGAACTAGAAGAAGTTGGGAGGGCTGAAGCAAGTCACTGGTGGGGAACTGTGAGATGGTGGGCAAAGGCTAAGGGAAAGGCATGAAGTCTGTCAGTCCTGCC